TCGGGGTCTGCAGGACAGGGCTGTGCCGGGGTGCGGGGTCCTTACGGGTGATTGTCCTTGGTTGAGTGTTATCACGTTTCATTGCTTTCTTTTTACAATTACCGTGGTTGTTCAGTGACCAGGAGAACTGTTAGTAGCGTGGGGGTTTTTTCAACCCAAGGTGACACAGAAATGTGACTCCGCACCGCACTTTTTCTTTCTCTGGAGTTAATTTACCTCTGAGCAGCTCTGCTCTTTGTGTGCAGCATGTCTTACATTCCAGTAACGAACCCGTGTGTGACTCCCCATCCCCGCTGGGCGCGCACAGGTCGGCACTGACGGGGGCTCCAGTGACCGGGCGTGCTGAGCACCTGGGGGTGCCTGGCTGCTGGGGTCTGCCCCCCAGCACCGAGAGACAAACACTGCTGGGGAAGGAGCTGGGGAATGCTGGGTGGGCTCCTCTCCCAGCACCCCGTGGTGTTGGGGTTCCTGAGCTCCCCATGAGGATGCAAGGTCAGAATAGCTGTTCTCTTTCCTCCCCGAGTGAAGGAGGAAAGGCCAGTGGGAGTGGAGGTGAGCTGCTCCTGGCTTGCTGAGGCTGGGATATGAAGTGAGAGTAGTCTGTGGCATTCGGGTCTCTTTTGGGATGGTGTGTGCCGTGTTTGGCAGGCTGCTGCCTGGCACTGGGCTGTGCCAGTGGCTTTGTTCCCAGGCCCTCGTGGCCGGCCCCGAGCCATTTGTTTCCAGCAATGTCCCAGGTTTCTTTAGTGCTGTGTAGCCCCAGGACCACCCGTGTTCCTGCTCCTGCCTCAATGGGGAGCTGAGTCCCCTTTGCTTGTTGGGGTGAAAAGGGCTGTGCCACTCCCTGGATTGAAATCTCCTTAAATCCCTGGGAGTTTACTGGGAGCCAGTCTTGGTCAGCACCTTGGCTGCAGCTGGCTCTGTGGTTTCTGCCAGTTTGTCCCAGTTTGGAGCTGGAGGTTATTTCACATAGTTTAAAAGCTGTGTGTGATGGCCAGGGCAGAGCAGACGTTTCTAGGAGCACAAAGCACACCTTGCTCAGGCTGATGACAGGTTTCCCATTGTTTGACGTCACTAAATGAAAAAATCTCACTTCTTCTCAGAAAAGGGAAGAGAACAAATCATTAGCAGTAAAAATGTCTTTGAAGATTGAAAATCTTTGAAGATTTGCAAAAACAGAAAGCGAATTAAAAAAATCCTACATTTGTTTATAGGTTAAAATCTTGTGAGTTTTTATGTTGCAATTCAGAGCATTTGATTGTGGGCTGAGCAGCAGCAAAATGTTCATGCTGGAAGCGTAGCTGTGTGCCCCTTCCTGGTGCTGGGGGTGCTGGCCCAGCCTTGCCTGCTTTTCTCTCTGGCATTTCAGGATGTTTTAGTGATGAAAAAAACCCAACAACATTGCTCGTGCCTTTCGTGAAAGGCGTGAATGCCTTTCACCCCTGCCCGTCTGCTGCTGCCTCCAGCTCCTTTGGGAAAGGCAAGGATGGCAGCAGGATGATGGGACTGAGGGCAAGGAGGGTTGTGACTGTGAAGGGAAAACTCAGGGAGTCACAGGTCCTGGCACAGTGGGGTATCCCCTTTCTGCTGAGTTGGCAAGAGGGGACTGTCCCAGGGACAGTGCTTCCCTGGGCATCACTGGCCAGAGCTGCAGAGGCTGCACCAGCTCTGGCTGCTCCCCGGGAGGTGCAGGAGGGGTTGTCCACCCACTGCTGCCGACACTGCAGCTCTACCTGCAAGTGCCTTTGGGCTGGATTCAGTGTTCTCTGTCTCATGACAGAGACTTCACCTTCCTGGAGGAACTTGGGAACGCACAGTAAATATCTTGGCTGCCACATTCCCCAGCTCCAGCTGAGCAAAGTGACAACGGGGCCAATAAACTCAGCAGTCACTGGGAAAACCTTTGGTATCTTAAAAATGAAACTCTGACTCCTGAACTAATCTGGTGGAACAAAATTTTGTAGCTCTTCCCAAGTATGTCAGACATCCCAGGAATGCTGTTATGTTGGTAGTGGGGGGCTGTGATGCTGGGGTGGAGGTTTGCTGTCAGAAGTGGGTGTTCACCCACAGACTAGACGCTTCCTGATGAAATCCATGGTGCTTCTGGCAGGTCCGAGTGTTTGGAGCCGACACACAAAGTGGGGCTGCAGGAGTGAGTGTGGTGGGGCCAGGCATCAGCCGGGAGCCAGAGCCTGTCCTCTTGGGCTTTGTACCAGTGACAAGGGGGTGGCTGCTCCTGGGCGACTGCAGAGCAAAGACCCCTGACCAGGAAGGTGCAGAGTAGGGGTCAGGGCCGTGGCTGTTTCCATGGGGTACATCATCCCTGTGTCTGGAGACAGCAGAAAGAAGCAGCACTGTCAGGGGTGCCCTGTGCTCCCCTCCAGTGCTGCAGGCTCAAGGATTTCCTGGCTAGGGGTTTTCTGAGGGGGTGCCAAGCATGTGTGATATTCCTGACTTCAAAGGATGAGGCTGGGGGCCAGGCTGGGGAGCAGCTGGGCCATGGGAGCCATGTTTGTTGTGGGCAAATGGTGGTTGTTTTCCCAAGGCATCAGCCAATTGAAGCACAGAGATCTGCATATCATTTGGGCACGGCAGCCGTGTGCAGCAGGGTATGGAGCTGTGGGACCTGCAGGGTGGGATGGTCAGTGACCACCTCGTGTCCTGCCCCTGGCCGTGTGTGGGAATTGTAGGAGCACGTGCCATCCCCAGACCGGGCGCTTCAAGAGGCAGCAGTTTTCCTGCAGACTGTGTGTACGCCATAAATAAATACGTGTATGTGTATGTTTGTTGTTCTGTTACCATCTTGGAGCAGTTGGGACCCCTGGGTAGCAAGCGTCTTTCTAGTGCAGGAAAAAGAAAGGGAAGCAAATGGTGTGGAAATGCATAGCAAATTGGGCTGCAATACCCAGCGGGGCCCTGCCTGCTGTGTGACCCCCAGCCCGGGGGGGGGCGGGGACATGAATTAGTGGGGCTGGGAGGGCGGGGGGAGATGCGGGCTCGGCAGAGCAGGGATCTGGGCTGCGGCTGCGACCACCAGTACAAACCAGTGCTGGGTTTGCCGGCGAGGCCAGGCGGGGGTTTGTCTGTTAGGTAAATGTTTGGTGGAAATGTGTGGGGAAAGCAGAAGAGGGGTGAGACACAACGGGAAGGGGCTGGGAAAGACTGGAAGAAGGACATACAAGAACCTGTTCCGGGG